TTGTGCCTCATTGTTGGGCTTTAATTCAGGCCCAAGATGCTTAAATGGGCGGGCTGGGCATAGCCATGAGCTGACCCAACTTCATTATCCAAACCCCCCCAAAGGAAAAAAACATTGCTTTGCAAATTTCGGAGCAGACCAAGCCTTGATCGGATTCCATAGGTTTGGTCATGCGTAGAACGATGTAGTGCGTCGAAATCTTGCCCACGAAACACAAGTCGCGTAGCTAAAGTTGAGCGAGCAACCATCTTCTCCGAAACACTCGAGTTGTTCGAGCGCAATGCGGAATTTGCTTCGCATCTCGACACTCCATGCTTGCAGGAAAGCTGGACGAAAGCCTCATGAGTCCAACATACGTTGGTGAAAGAACTCGTTGGACCTAAGATACGCCCACATATGAGTAACCCAGACATGGATATAAGGGGCACTCGAAATCGAACCCGCGACTTCCGAATTTGATATTGTCTTAGAGTCAAACGTGCGGCCATTGTTTCCAAAAGTTCAAACCGAAACAAAAAAAAAATCATGGTTTAGACATTATTTAGAGGTTAGGCATGATAAATGAGAGGAATGCATGTAAATGCACAAAAACCCTATTATGTGATGTGCCCTTTTGACACTTCATATGTGGCTGAGTCAGAGAGTACCCAAACCTGGGTGTCACTTGTTTTCTTCTTGGGTGTGTGTGACCAGAGAGAGACTTTCCCAGGTCAATTTTACTGCTTTGATGGAAAGTTCTTGCAAAAGCAAACAAAAGACGAAAGCTGTGACGAGGTAAGCGAGGCCAAGAGACTCGATTCTGTCTGTTGGTAACCAGGACGATTGGTTTTAGCAATTGTTGGCGTTCGTGCTGCCCGGGACGGGGTCTGAATTGGAAGGGTCGATCGGTTCGGCGGAATCGCCAAAATCGTCCTCCTTGCGGCAAGAGAAGACTTGCTGGAGATTGGAGACTAGGTTTTATGGCAGTAAATTTATACTTAAAATTGTTGGAAAAATATTAGATAACATGAAAAATAAGAATTGTTGGAAATCCGTTGAAAAGGATGAAAAAAATAAGATAAATTGTCTGAGGCGTGCTAGCACTGTCCTTAAAGTTAATTTCGTCCCTCGAATTACGAAACTTGGTGCAATAGGCTCTCGCGGCTATCCTCTCAAGATACAATAGGCATTCGTCTTTATTCAGCACAAAATAATAGAAGAATCATAAATAACGTCATGTGTATAAACCCGAAAAGAAAGGAAAAAATTTGAAAAGGAAAGGAAAATTCTCGTTTTTAATTCGGTGTATTTTAAAGGATTGTGGTTTGAAGTTTAATTTTACATTCCGAAGAAAGAGAGAGCCGTTAAGAAATCGTTATAAAACAATCGGTAATTATTAAAATGATGACCGTTGTAAAGCCGTTATAAATGGGGGCTTTATGAAGAAATAAATCAAACGTTACAAAATCGTTATAAAGCCATTATAAGGCCGTTACAAAGCCATTATATAGTCGCTACAAAATGATGGTTTTCATGGCTGTCATAACTCCTACCAAAGCAATTGCTTTCAAATATTTCAAAACTGTTGAAGTATCAATAGTGCTAACCTGGAGCAGATTAGAACCCAGGGTCATAGGACGTGAGTGTGGTGCTCTTCCCGCAAGTGGACCTTGAGGCCTCCGAGATTCTCTCCAGTGGCTTCCCACCTCAGCATTTGCTTCTGCTTATGTTCGACCATGATCAAGGATCCCCCGAAGCCGACCATTTCGAAATACTAGGTGAAGTGTTTGAAAGGCAGGCGGATAGGTGGGAAAGGATCCCCTGGAGGCGGTGATATGATGCCTTCACTACCATCATCGACGCGTAAAGTTATTGGGGTGTGGTTCATACTCTTCAGCGACAGGATAGCACGGAGGTCCCGCCTGACCTTGACATCGTTTTGGACCTAGATTTTGTGCCATCTAGGAACATTGTGTTGGGAAAACCTTATAATAGATTTTGAAGTTGACAAAACTATCCATATATGTGTTGTAAGTCCGATAAATGTTCTTAAATATTTTGATTCAAGAAGTTATACTTTGAAGATGACAAATCTTTTACTTCTTGAAGCTCAGACTTTATACTTATGTTCAGACTTTATACGACCTTTGACGAACTTCAGCATTTGTAGTGGAATCAAAAGACTCAGATTTTAAAGAACAACCCATCCTGACATACGTTCTGATTACAATACTAGATACTATAGAATCAGATCTCATTTGGTTCTCGACGCAAACTCTGATCATTCACAACAGCTAGTAATCTAGCTTGGAATTCACAAAAGGAAAGTCTGGATTGACTCGATATTAAAAGGCTATTTTGTAAGGGATATTTATATCGCAAAATATCTTAAATTGATTGACAATCAACCACGAGACAAGTTTATTTCTAAATGGAGAGGCTCTTCTTATGGAAATCTAAGCTTTGGTTGTATGGACGACCAGATTCAGCGGGATTCATATTTTGTCACTCAATAGCTACTCAATCCTCTTTAGGTAAATATGTCCAATATGAAGATTGGAAGATGATCATCTGAAGATTGTCCAATGGTTAGTTTGGAAGTGGAGGAGTATAAAAGGAGACAAAGTATTGAGGAGCAAAAGAAGAGACGACATCCAAAATCATCTATTCCAGAGTCTGAGCATACTCCGATCAGTGTTACTTGTCTTTCTTGATCTAAAAACTGTGATCTTGAGAGACATATTGTAAGAGTGATAGAGTGGCCTATGTTACACAAAGAGTTATCACTCAAAATCTGTAATCTCTTAATTAATTATCTAGTGGAATCCAGTCAGTAGGCTATCAGCATGAGAGAATGGATGTAGGCTTGATCTAAGCCGAACCACTATATATCTTATGTGCAATTTTTCTCTTCTCTAAAGCTCCTTTCATTTATTTCATTGCACATTTACTTAATTGCTTTTCAAAGTTTGCTCAAAATCTGAACGATGCTCAGACTTTGTTTTCTATCTACTATTTCCGTCTTAAATTGAAAAAGAATTTTCTATATCACCTATTCACCCTCTCTCTAGGTGATCCTTTCTAGTCTCCGCACATTGTTTGAATCTTAATCCTTCATTGTGTGTGTGTGTGTATATAAATTGATTTTTTTCTAATTAACTCAGATGGATAATATCTGTCCAAATGAAGCGAATTGCTATTTCGATAAAAGTTTTGGGGTGTTCACTTTAACGTGGAACTCTCCGCACTTCCTTCTATGGTAACCCTACTTAGATCCAGCAATCGATCAATCTGATTCACCTTTTTCTCGAAATTGTAGGCTGTAAGAAGGTTTTTTTGTCGCTCGTGACCCTAGATCAGTGGCCAATACAGTCCTTCCACAAAATTTACTTAACAGTAGACTACAATGTCGGCCTTGAATCCACATCAATCTAGTAATTGGCACTAATGGCATAGTAATCCCCTGTACATGCATTCGAATTCATGCACAGGGCGAACTATCGTTTCTTCTTACAACGGAAAGTTTACCTTAAGAGAGTAGTAGCCCAGGTAAACATGCCGGGTAGCAAATCTCGAGCGAGTGTAGAAATAATGAAGTGTTTGCATGTGGTGATGATCCAAAGGAATCGGATCATATTCTTGTGCCTTAATGACTTTCTCTGAAAGTTGTTGAGCATACCAGGTATCTCAATGTTAACCCATCAAGCATGATTAATTTTGTAGAAATTTAACGCGAAAAACTCTAACGGATCTTGCAATTAAATCAATGCGAAATTACCAGATAAATAAACGAGGAACAATAAAGACACCAGAGATTACGTGATTCGGTCCGAGTATCGGTATCTATATCCACGGAGAGAGCCAGCAGCAAATAATCGACTATCAAATCAGAGAATTACAGAGTTTCAAGTGCTCAAAATGCTCGAGTGTTTCCCACACCTAGATTACACCCAAACCCAAAGTGTCTATAAATAAAACAACTCAATCCGATGTAAACTCATATCATATATCACCGTGCCTAAACACGTCCGCACGGCCAAAGAAACAGGAACTCCAGGACACAACACGTCCGTCTCTATTTCTCGTGTGTCCCCGAAGTGCTCACCGTTCAGTTTTTCTTTCCTCTCGTGCGGCTGCTCTGCGTGCGACTCAACCAGTCTGCCCTTCAAGGAATCCACGCCTTTTAAGTTTTCTCTTAAAGGAGTCAACAAAATTGATTTTTACCTGGACCCACCAATAACGTAATATTTTCTGATTCTTGGCTTTTAAAATTGACTTCCACTGTACGTAATTGTTGAAAGATGCCCAATCAGTCAAACGTGAATATTATCTTTTTCTATTTCAACCAAAACAAATCTCCTTTGGTCATGACTCCCAACAATTTTTTCTGTTTCTTTTTAAGTTTGATGGGCTAAAAATTTCTGCCTGAATAAGTGGATTCATTGCTATGTAGATTGATTTGATCTCCCTCATCCTACAATAACTTAATTTCGTTTGCTCTCCTAAATTGAAGAACCCATCGTGATCCTCTCTGCAAGGAAATTCCATTAACTATGGGAAGAACATAAGTGAATTCACAAAATAACACAAACAAGCCTTCAGTACTTGCAATTGGCAATATTAAATGAAAAGAGTTATTTCTAGACTAGAAGTGCTTATCCCTTGTTACATTTCTCCAAAATAGCTGCTTGAATAATGACAGAATTGGCTAAATAGGGAAGAAAACCTGGTACTCACAAATGGTCGGACTGAAGACAGTAAAAAGTTTAGCCCCAGGAGATAAGAAGAGCAACTCTCAGTCACGCAGTTTTGGGTGATACGAGGCTAGGCTTGTAACCGCGAATAGTAGTGAACCTCGGAGGGAGGCTAGGGATGCCCAGCGACAGGTAATTTGCCTTTTACAAGAAGAAATATGTGAAGTGCATTTTTCGGTTGGAAACATTACCATTGCAAGCACTTACCCGTAAGAGAAAACATTCCGAGCCCAACCTACCAATGACTATATAAGTCATGTAGGGATTTCATACCACGTGAGTATCATGAAAATCCCAAAAGCGGATGGAAAGGTCTTCGAACTTGTCCCCCGTGACTTCCCATTCTCTCATCCACTCGTTATCATGTTCTACTATGGTCAAGCATCCTCTGAATCCTAGCAGCCCAAGTTCATTGGGTTCGATCCTTGTCGTGAGCCCGGCATTTCCATCAGGGACAAAACCTTGGGGGGGTAGGAGCGATTGACCATTATTATCGTGGCGTACTCCAAGGTCGAATTGGCCAACATCTTGGGTAAATGAAATCATCCGAAACTTCTCATGGCACACATCAAATGATATGATGACATCACGTTCTTTTCCAGAGGCTTTCCAGTGAATGGCCCCGCTCCAGTATACAGGTTCATATATAAAATAAGCCTGCCAACCATCGGGTACGTCCAATCTCCTCCACGAACTCGCTCCCAGTGTAGTCACTTCGAAGCACCTTCTTCCTTCAACATTAACAGATGTCCGTAGAGCTTTGTACTGTCCTGTTGAAGGATCGAAACCGAGTCCAACTTGATGACCACCCATAACTGTTTCTCCTAATGTTGGCAATCTTCTGTACTCCCTCGTTATGGGATTGCAAACAAAAACAGGATCAAGAACTGAGTAAGAACCTACACATAGCAATCCTCGGCAAGTGCCCATGACCGAAAGTCCTTTTAGCGGATCAATGTGAATCTGTCCAACCCTACGTCCCTCGATATCCACCAAAAGAAACAGTTGTGTGGAGTCATCATCCGCACAAAACGGTTCAATGATAAGCCACGGTTCCTTGTAATCATTGCTACTCAAAAGCTGCTCGATGAAAGTGGCTGATTTTGTTAGGTAACACCAGGCCTTGCAGACACATCTGCACTCTGCAGCACAGGACTGAATCGATAGGAAGCTTGCATAATATTTCTGATATAATCTCTGGAGACAAGTAGGGAATGCTCTCGTTGCTACTGCTGCTTCTTTTCTCTGATTTCTCCATTCAAGACGAAATATATCAATCTCTTCTTAGTAATGCTCCTGCAAGTTACCCACAAATAAATTCAGTAACCCAAGCATTAAAAAGAAGCAGAATAAAGGGGTTATAAATGACCCTACAAGGAATCTTAAAAGGATCCGTGCTTTCTTTTTCATGAATTGCAAAAAGAACTCTTTGAAAAATGTGTTGCTATATTTTCCTTTGTCGTGGTGTCACCGTTGGATTTCAAGAAGCCTCATATCTGCATAACAAAATGTTATTCTAATTTTAAGTACGTCGATGCACACAATGCGGTGGGTAAACTGCATCACACTAACTCAAGCTCTATTTCTTAGAACTCTTTAGGAGCAACTTTCTATAGTGCGCTAGACAACAAAAGTTCACATAAGATGTAATTTATATGTGGCCTCTCTGCATCGCTGCCAGATATGGTAAAGCTTTAACTTGTCAATAACGGATTATCTCAAGACACCCACACAGTAAAATAAATTATAATGACAGCCTCAATTATATCAATGTTTCCGAAACGATAATCACTCTAATTACAATAGCAAATTATATGAATGCCCTTCTGTCATATTAACCCTCCCCAAAATCGTGGATAGTCACATCGACTTGTTACTATGCAATTAACACTTCTCTTTTTCTCTCTCTAAAGATATCTCTAGGACTATCATTATATACATCTCTCTAGTATTCTCTCAGACACCTAACTCAGATTTGTACCCGATTCATCAGCATACCAGGCTTACCAACTTGTGGCTGCAGATGTCTTGAACTCTTAGGCAGGTTGAGACTACCATAGGCACCAACATTAGGATTCGGACTGCCATTTTGAGCAAGTGTAAAACAACTTACAGAGGGGAAGAGGGAGCGAAGAGAGCCACCAATGCATGCAAGAGGTGTGCGCGCAAGAGAGTGCACTGTGAAGTGGCGACTAAAACAATAAAGTAAGGTCTTGCGAGTAAGCAACGATAAAAAAATGTACCATCAACATAGTATGTAATTTATAAATGACCACTTTGCATCGCTGCCATATATGGTAAAGCTTTTAACTGATCAATAACCAATTATCTCAAGACACCCACATAGTAAAACAAATTATAATGACAGCCTCAATTTTAACAATGTTTCCAAAATGATAAACCACTCGAATGACAATAGCAAATTATATTGATACCCTTCGGCAATATTAACACTCCCCAAAATCGTGGATAGTTACATCGATTTGTTACTACGCAATTAACGCCTCTCCGTCTCTCTGATGCCGAAACGCGATAGAAAGATTGACTGAACAAGAAAATTCGACAGAAGAACAATTCGTCCTCCAAGTATGATTATCAAATCAAAATATCCAAAGTCTGCTTAAACGAAACCCTAAAACAAGCTTATATATCCCCAAACCTAACCCAACTAGGATTAATAAACATCAAAATGCAAAATTACGAAACTGCCCTTTACTAAATTAACCATAAAAAATACTAAAATAATATAAAAATCCATCTAAACAACCCCGAATCGCGAAAATCCATCATTAGTCACAGCCAACGGCAGTGTGTATTGATCAGCACGCCGTTTCGCTTCAGCCGACCAAATTTGAGCTTAATCCGAGATCGTTGACTTCGAGCCCGTTGGTTCGTCTAGTCGCATAATGGGTTCGCCGGTCCCCTAGGTGCATCATCCTCCCCTGCTAGAGAAAGATTCGTCCTCGAATCTGCTTCGTCTTCATTGTCGCCAATCTCTTCAGGATCTTCTTCCTCTTTGGCGTAGTAAGGTGACAAATCTGCTACATTAAAAGTTCCGGATACATTATACTTACCCGGCAAATCGATCTTGTAAGCATTGTCACTAATTCGCTCCAAAACTCTGAAGGGTCCATCAGCTCTATTGTGGACCTGGGAATGCAGCTCTTTGATATGCTTTGTATGTTCTGCCTGTTGATCTGATTGTGGACCTGGGAATGCAGCTCTTTAATATGCTTTGCATGTTCTTCAGCTTCCGAACTAAATTGTTTGAGAACTGGTATCGGTGTGAGATCCAATGGAGTAATTGGATTACGCCCATAAACCACCTCAAAAGGAGTCTTGCCTGTAGTTCGGTTCTCAGATCTGTTATATGCAAATTCTGCCTAAGACAATGCCAAGTCCCACTGTCGCGGATTATCTCCAATCAAACTCCGCAGCAAATTCCCTAAGCTTTGATTGACAACTTCTGTCTGACCATCAGTCTGAGGATAATGAGAGGAACTAAACTGCAATCTAGTTCCCATGTGCCTCTAAAGAATGCGCCAAAAGTGACTCACAAACTTCACATCACGATCTGAAGTTATGGACTTGGAAACTCCATGTAACTTAACAATCTCCTGCAAAAATAATCGAGCAACCTGTGAAGCATCATAGGACTTGCTACACGGGACAAAGTGGGCCATCTTTCTTGAAGGTGTACGTATTTTTGAATCCGTCATGCTGTGTTTTCCTGTCAAACTGCCAAGGTCAGAATCGGCATAGACAATGTCCTCCTGATCTGGATCCACATCTTCTTGCTCTCCATCAGATTCATCATAAGTTGGGTCTTCATCAAAAGTTGGATTATCTACAGGTGTCACAAACTATCGGTTCGGACAATCAGTAGCAAAATGTCCGAGTCCTTGACACTTGAAACATCGCTTGCCTGCGGTTCCTCCCCTGCTAGATCCAGCACTACCTTGCTCTCCTTTTGTTACAAATTTTGAACCAGCGCCCTTAACTGTCGCCGGGGCTGAAGAACTCTCTGCTTTCTCTCGGGACTCTTTATCTGACCACTTGGAACTGCTGCCTGACCACTTGGAACCGCTGCTAGACCACTTGGACTTACTGCTCTTTCTTTTAAACTGCCCCTCCACTTTTAGGACTAGTCTGCACACATCCTCATATGTCCAATACTGCTGTAATTGGACAACATCAGAGATCTCATATCGCAGCCCTGCCAGATATCGAGCAATCATCTGCTCGTCTTCCTCCGCCACATCACAACGCATCCGCAAGTGATCAAATTCCTCTGTAAATTCCTCAACTGTTTTATCATCTTGCTTGACGTTATGATACTCGATAAACGCCTCTTGCCTATAATGGGTAGGCAAAAAAAAAATTTGCAACAACTTTTTCATCTTCTCCCAGCGGTTTACTTTTGATTTCCCCTCTCTAGCACGCTGCCTTTTCACATGCTCCCACCATATCGAGGCATGTTTTCGTAGCCTAATAGCTACTAATTTAACTTTCTGCTCTTCAGTCATATCCTTAATATCAAAGATCCTCTCTACTGTATGTAACCAATCAATAAACTCATCAGGATGAGCCTTACCATTAAACTCGGGAATCTTGATCTTCATCTCGAAAATTTGCGAAGAGCGCTGATTTCCAGGTCATACTCCTCGATTCCGCCCCTGGTTCAGAACCCCGAAAGGGTTTACGTCCTCATCTTCATCATCGAATGGATCCTCAAATTTTGCTTCTTCTTCGGATTGAACGCCCAACCTCGCCTCCGCAAGTTGTCGCTCCAAATCCTGGATTCGTCTTCTCTGTTCTTTAATTTCTACGTCTCGCAGATCTCTTAGACGCGGTTGGTCGTCTGCTTCAGGAACGCCTCCACGCCCCCGGCCACCACGAGCCCGCCGTCCACGACCGCGATTATGTTCAGCCATTGATTCAAGCAACCTGTGCTCTGATACCAATTGATGCCGAAACGCGATAGAAAGATTGACTGAACAAGAAAATTCGATAGAAGAACAATTCGTCCTCCAAGTATGATTATCAAATCAAAATATCCAAAGTCTGCTTAAAAGAAACCCTAAAACAAGCTTATATATCCCCCAAACCTAACCCTACTAGGATTAATAAACATCAAAACGCAAAATTACGAAACTACCATTTACTAAATTAACCCATAAAAAATACTAAAATAATAGAAAAATCCATCTAAACAACCCCGAATCGCGAAAATCCATCATTAGTCATAGCCAACGGCGGTGAGTATTGATCAGCACGCCATTTCGCTTCAGCAGACCAAATTTGAGCTTAATTCGAGATCGTTGACTTTGAGCCCGTCGGTTCGTCTAGTCGCATAACGGGTCCGCCGGTCCCCTAGGTGCATCACTCTCTCCTATGAATATCTCTAGGGCTATCATTACGTACATCTCTCTAGTATTCTCTCAGATACATAACTCATATTTGTACCTAGTTCATCATAATACCAGGCTTACCAGCTTGTGGCTGCAAATGTCTAGAACTCTAGGGAAAGTGGAGACTACCATAGGCACCAACATTTGGATTCAAGCTGCCATTTTGAGCAAGTGTAAAACAACTGACAAAGGGGAAGAGGGAGGGAAGTGAGTGATGAGTGCGTGCGAGAGGCGCCTGTGCAAGTGAGCGCATTGTGAAGTGGTGACTGAAATAATAAAGTAAGGTCTTGCGAGTAAGCAACGATAAAGTTTGAAATCCTACTTCAGTGCTCATTGCACTTTCTGAACCGAATTTGGGTATTCAAAAGGTTCCCCTTTTCCATCTACGACGGCCTACACTTCGCTTAACCTCCATTTCTACTGGACTTGAAATATTAGCCAGAGATCACAAACTAATTGTGAGTTTAAAGCGCATGATTTGACATCACAAAAAAACCTCGATACTATCATGTTCTTCAC